TAGGATTGCCCAACCTTCCTTCCGAGGAGTGGCTGGTGGGTTTGAACCGCCAGCCTTCTGGTTAGCAGTCAAGTGCTTTAGCCACTATGCTACCAGGCTCCTACCAGAGCTCCTTCAAATACACGTTGCTGTCGTTGTTGTGTGCCGTCAAGTCGGCCCCAACTCATAGCGACCCCTCCTTGGGTTTCCGAGGCTGTATCACTATGGAAGTAGGATTGCCCAACCTTCCTTCAGAGGAGTGGCTGGTGGGTTTGAACCGCCAGCCTTCTGGTTAGCAGTCAAGTGCTTTATAGATATGTATATATATGCAGATGTATGTATGCATTTTAGCTGTTAGGTATTATTCTGCTTTTTTTTTGTCAAATAAGAGTAATTAAAATATTACTTATTAATCAGCTTAAGGAAGATGAAATTTGCTATTTGGAGAAAAGATACCTTAGAATATGTTCTCTAGTAGACAAGTAAGGATTATGGAATGTTTATTTTTAATATTGAGTCACACCAGAAATTTCCAGTTAGTTTGTATAATCTTTGTAATATATTTATTTTTAATAATTTGAGAAGCATTTTCCTAGTCTTCAGAGATTCTCTAGCAAATATTTTTAAAGTAAATAAAATTTAAGTCCAAAAATCTGTATCAAAAATTCTCCTAGTTAAAACTAGATAGTTCTTCTTTAGAAAAGTTATTATAAATAATATGGAAAGCCAAGTTAGCCAGTCTTTGGGAACAAAATTCAGTGGTTTCAGAAGAGATTTTGAACATCATTAAATATAACTCGGTTTCAACATCTTCTCTTTCATGCAGTAATACAGCAGAGACGCTGGATAAAAAAGGTCAAGTAGAGATCTGCTTCTGAAAACACGTTACAATTGTAGTATACTACTACATCTTTATTCCAGTGACAGTATGTTTTAGATTTTGAGTAGGAGCTAATCATAAAACAGGTTTAGAAAACGTTAATAATCATCAGAAATAACATGTATCTTGTGAAGCATATTTTGCATTACCACTTATGAAAACTCAGAAACTTTAACTTACTTCAATTCTGTTTTTGTATGAGTAGTAAGTTTCTAAGACCAGGAGAATACAAAATTATAGCCAAAAAAACCCACATTGTGGTTCAGATTTTGAGCATGTTTACTCAAACTTGCAGAGTGGGAAAGCCATTTTTAAATATCTACATATGCAGAAGCAAAGTATTTTAGTAAATAAGTTTTGAACAGTCAAAATTACCAAAGAAGCTGAACAACTTTCATGGGTGGGGCCAGAGGCTGAGAAGGAACAGGATTCATTTTGGCTGGCTCTAACATTGGAAAAATATTTGGTACCACACCCTCAGCAAAGGCCTAACACACAGCAATCAGTACTGTCAAACCAGTCCATTTTGTTCTCTTGTCACGGTCCTCTAAGGAACTAAAATACAGCGAAAAAATGAGTACAGAAGTTTGACGGCGGTGGGGTTTGGGAGAACCTAAAGGGGGGGGATTTTGCAATTTTCAATCGTCTGTTCTACCTAGAATGGGAAAATATCTTTTTTTATTCATTGATAAAGAGTTTAATTTCTTTTTTCCCCATCTGATCAATCCTACAATGCCTTAATTATTACTATCACTTTCTTGAGCAGACCATTACTCAGCACGAAGGGGGAAACAAGAGCCTTCTACAACCCGGCGGAACAGGGGGTGGGGGGAGCGGTGTCTTCGGTGATAAGAGGGAAACAGGAACCTCAGCACTAATGGTTCAGGTGACAGCGGCCCTCCCCATGCCCTCAGTCCCATCCTTTCTCCGGACCCACGTCCTGGATTTGGGAACAATTAAGCACAAGCCTGTGTACAGACACCCACGGCAGCTGAGGAGTTGAAGGGCAGGTCCCGACAAGAAATCCCCGGAACTGGGAGGAGGCCGCGGAGACCCTATGTTCACCCCCTTGGACAACCCCCCTCACACACGCCCCGGCGCACGCCCACTTCTCAGCTCCCAGCCCCTCTACCCAACTTTAGCTCTTTACCCTCCCGCTCTCTTTGCCCTGCGAGCTCCTTCAGTACTCCGATGCCCTCACCCCCAGAGACGGCCCCGCCTCACCTCCTCCCGACCCCCCTTACCTTTCCATTCTTGGGGCTGCCGTTAAGGAACAGGGTCACCCGCCTCATCGCGCTGCCCCCACCGGGTCCTGAGTGAGCCGCCACCCTCCCACCTTTTTCTCCTCCCACCTTTTTCTTCTCCCGCCCTTCCCCTCCCTCCACCCACTCGGACTCTCCTCCCTTCGCCACCTTCCTTCTCTTACTCACAGACAAACACTCTCCGTCCCACACCCCAGAGTTGGCGGGTCCTCCTTCCCACCCCGCCCCTAAGCTCCTCAGCCTGCTTGGGGCCCTTCCCCCAACGCTCCGAAACTGACTCTAATATTCACCAATCAAAGAACAGGGATAACCAGCATTTACCCAATCATCGCCCTGCATTGGGTGGGCTCACACTAACCCACACCGGGTGAAGAGAGGGAAGAGAGGTTGTAGACGAGAATGGTTATCAGCCAATAGAGAAGAACCTGGAGTCCAACGGCGGCTGGAAACATTACTGGGCAGGCGCAAAACTAGTAATACTAGGCAGTACAAAGTTAATCTGCATATGGAGGCGGGGTTTGCGGAAGAGAGGTGGAGCTAGATCTAACCCTTCCACTAACCCAACCCACAAAGTAAACGGCTGCAGCTGATTGGGTAAGAGCCCGCCAGTCGTTCTGTCATGATTGGTTCAATAGTTCTTTTCGAAGTTTGCAATGTCCAACCGAAAGGTAGGGGGAGGAGCTATGGTTCAACTGAAGAACTGAAGGGTTATTCCGCGAGGCTAACACGGAAAGTAGTTCCACAACGCAGGTTAGAGGCTAGCTTTTTGGTCAATGGGTAAACTACCTTTTGATGCTTCTTTCTTAGCCCAGGCATCCAGTCCTCTTCCTGAGATAACGAGGTAGAGGCTTGGGAGAGTTCGAGGAGCGACTGGACACGTGCGGATGGTTCCAGGCGTAGAGATTTGTGGAGGTTATGCCCTGACGCTGAGGGGCGGGGTCGGCTATTTGAATTCTGCGGCGGGGGAGCGGGTATCTGGCGGTAGGTAAGCGTGCCGGACAGGGTTGGGATATTGGGCGGCCGCATACCCTGGGTTGGGCAGAAATCCGATAGTAGAGCCACGGAGCAGCCATCTACGAGCCACTGCGTAGCCCCCGTGGCTGCTGGTTTAGCGAGCAGTTGATTTCTCAAGCCGAAACTTCCGGACCTTAGAGCCGAGGTCGAAAAACCTTAAGAGATAGAGACATCGTATCGGGACCGCACCCCAGTTTTGCTGACACCAACACTCGTCTGCTGCTGAGATTTCAAAATAAAGCGAAGCGAGAGGAAAAAAAATCAAAAGTTGCGTGAGTGAGAGGTAGGACAAGTGTCTTGGTTTGGATATCAAAGTACAGCAGTGCTGTTTCTTAAGGGTGCATCCTGCGCTTCAGAGACTGGTCCTCATACAGCCGACTCTGGATCACCTAGGGTTTTTTAGAAATGAAGAATCCTGAGCCCATCCAGATCCATTGAATCCCGAGACTCCAAAAAATTTTATTTTTAACAGGTTAAGCAGATGATGCAGATGTTTACTAAGGTTTGAAAAGCCACGGCTTAACGTCTGTGTTACTACATCCTGAACAACAGTTTTCCCCTTTTATTTAATTTGAGTTGCAAAAGTATTCAAGAGAGTGCTTTTTCCTACCTTAATAGATTGTATTAGTTAAGTCTTCAATGAGGATCTTGATAGAATCACATTAAGTTTTGGGATGGGATTGTTCATATTTTTCTTCCCTTTCTTTTTTAGATGGATACCAATTCAAAAGACAAGGAGCTCCTTGAAATCAAGGACAAAGAATCTGCTATTAACACTGCTGGTACGTGGTGACCTTGTGAAAATTCAAGTTTAGAGATTTTGCTTGATAATGATGTTTGGCCCCAACAATGTATTACTATCTGTTTCAGAAAATACTTCTTTCATTCTGGGAAATGAGAAGCTTGCAGTGCCTCAGAAACATGAAGCAGAAGTGACTTCTAATCTTTGTAGACAAGATATATTCAAATCTCCTTTGAACTTTTCTACTGTAACTGTAGAGCAATTGGGTATTACACCTGAAAGCTTTGTTAAAAACACTCCAGGTAATAGAAGTTGTCATTCTACTGCAGTCCTTTTAAAATCAACCTTAATACACTTTTTTACTCATTTATCCTATTACTTCTTGTTGTTATGTGCCGTTAAGTCGGACCCGACTCAAAGTGACCCCTCCTTGGGTTTCCGAGGAAGTATCACTGCGGAAGTCAATTGCCCCATTTTCCTTCCAAGATCCTATTACTTAGGATATCGTATTACTTAGGATCCTATTACTAATTACTTATCTATCCTGTTCATCGTATTACTTTATGTATCTAAAATGATTGGCTCTGTCAGCTTGTTTGCTCAAGGAGACATTTGTACTGGTTCAGCTGGTCTAGCATAGCAGGAAGTCAGGGTGGCCTGCGATAATCCTCCTATGTCAGAGTGGTGCTGCATGCCCAAACTGGAAAAAAGAATGTATATAAAGCACTTGGTGAAATGACATGTGGATGCAGGAGGATGTGTATGATAGATAGTAGAACATTTTATGTTCAGGAATGATGAATATAAAAAAAAAAATTGAGCAATTAAGAAAATATAACATGGAATGATTGGACTGTGCTTCTTTCAAAATTGCAAACAGAAAATTGACTCGAGCTAATCTCTAAGGAGTAGAAATTACCCTGTGAAGTCTGATTTAGATGGAAAAGAAAGAAATAAGGGACTGGAACAGAATTGAAAACTGGGGAGACATGAAAGACAAGGAACGCTATGGTAGGTAATACATGAGACAAGGTCAAGTTGTTCCCTGTTCAAGAATATGATTCTTAAAGAACAATCATGGGAGAAGGAAGGGCTGCTTATGCACAGGGAGACAGCTAAGGGGGCAGGAGAGTATGGAAGGATGGACACTGGGAAGAGGTAACTATGGGAAGGAAGTGGGAGGGGAGCTGTTGCATTGTGGTAAACTGTGGTCAATGACATGAGACAAAGTATATGTGAACTGTGTATGGAAAGTGAATTTGCTGTGTAAATCTTCACACAAATCACAATAAATAATAATAATTAAAAAAAAAAGAGAGAGTTCAGCAAACAAAAACAAAAAAGAATATGACTCTTAAAAAAGTTAGCTGCATATGGCCAAAATTCAGGGTACTATGCCAAGGTGGGTATCTCACTGTGGTGCAATGAGTTCTTTATATGTCCTTTTGCCTTAGTTCTTTGGCAAAACAATTTGGGGCATCCCAAGTGGTAGTCTACCTGAGCTTAGTACTTTTGCCTGGAGAAGAGCCAGTCCATACCTGCAGAAAATGTTATTTTTGTGTAAGACCTGAATTGTTTGACATCTCCTGGGTGATTGAGGTTTGGTTGAATTCCAGTCTGGTGAAGGAGGCCCTGTCTTATAACTGATGAAGACTGGAATATATAAACACAGGGTTTCAGGGCCACTTGGTTGACAAGAGCTGGGAGGTGAGCATGTCCATGACATGGAAGCCTTGTACTTAAAGTCCTTCCAGTCCTGTTAAAAAAAAAAAAAGAAAAGCTGCTACTGAGAGAGCCACTTAGCAAGCTGCTACACTGGCTATGAGCTGGGCCAGTTAGTGGGTGATAGCAGTGTTGGGTGGAGCTGAACAAACCTGCAAAAAAATGGTATAGAGGTGTGAAGACAGAGCCTAGCATGAGGCCTGCCCAGCAGTGAAGGTAGCCACCTGGAAAAGAAGCTGAATCAAGCACCAGCCTGGCAGAGAAGGTAGCTGTCTAGCAGAGAAACTGTGTTGGCTAAGAACAGTCTTTTTTTTTTAGGATTTGGGTGAAGATTTACAGAGTAAATTCACTTTTCATACAGCAGTTCACATATACTTTGTCTCATGTCATTGACCAAAATTTACAATGCAGCAGCTCCCCTCCCACTTCCTCCCCATAGTTACCTCCTCCCAGTGTCCATCCCTTCATACTCTTCGAGAGGCCCATTGTCTGCCAACCCTGTATATGATCTTGGATACACTCTCCATTTAGACATACATAATTGTTTAGCTTGTTCACCCATCTATCCGTCCCTATACCCATGTTTGCTTTCATTGACAACTCAGTATTGTATTTACAAAGGGGTTCATATTTGTTGTTTGTACTGCCCATGTAACTCTCTCTGTCTTGGCTAAGAACAGTCTTGAGAGTTGTTTCAGTAGAGAGCTTACCTGTTCCCTGAAACTTTTTTGCTCTGATAGCTGTCTTGGTTGGAAACTGTCCTGCAATGGAGAATGGAGGTATGTGCTTTCCACTTTGAGGACTCTTTCATACCTTGCCTGTGTTTCCTAATTCTGATCCTGAATTGTTACTGTTATTTCCAAGGTGATCCCAGTCTTGCGTTATAACTTGTTACTTCCTTAATAAACCACATAACTGTGATTGTGGTCTATGAGTTCTGTGTGGCCATTGCAACAAATTGTTGAACCCAGCAGAAAAGTAGAAAGTACTGTAGTGGGAACAGCTAATGTCACAAATAATGGAAAGTAGGAAGGTGGTGATTGGTTTGACCTCATCCTCATAGAAACCAACTTTGTGCTCAACTTGATCCTTATCCCTTATGAATTTAGACAAGTCACTGTGCTGTGGAGAACCAATTGTTGTGAAATTTTAAGAACTTCAAACAGCTCATGTGCCTAGGTGGAGATTCTTTCCTTTCAGTCTGAGGGGATGTTATTATTACCTGCCATCAAGTTGCCTCAACTCATGGTGACCCTGTGAACAATTAAATGAAATGCTAACGGGTACTGCCTCATTCTCATGATCAATTGCAGATTGGAATAATGTGATCCCTAAGGTTTTCATTGGCTGATTTTCAGAGATAGATAACCAGGCCTTTCTTTCTAACCTGTCAGTTGCATCAGTCTGGAAATCATAGCAACATTCAAGCCTCCACTGATAGACAAGAGGTAGATGCACATAAGTTGCATTGGCTAGGAGTTGAATCCAGGTCTCTTGCATGAAAGGCAAAAAATCTACATTGAACCACCACTGCCCTCTTCCGTGGGATAAGACTAATTCAGAAGAAGAGAAATTCTTCATCAAAGCAAGCTATCACCTACTTCTTTGTACAGAAATATGGAACAAAAATAAAAGCCGTTAATTTAAATGTGTTCATGTATTCATTCAACAATTACTTAATTCATGTAATAGGCATGGAATAAATTAGTGGACACAAGTCCCTATTCAACTGATAATATAAGAATAACTTGGCCAGTCATTCTCAAGAAATACTTGATTTCTGTACCATGTGTTAATCATGTTTTCTATAAGGTTGGTACATTATGGATAATCAGGGCATGATTACTGATGATTACTCTAATTGAAAAGAGTTTGCATTACAGGAAAGCCATCATCCTATCTTAAGAAATCTAGACGACGTTCTACGATTGGTGCTCGCGGCTCTCCTGAAACAAACCATTTGATTTGTTTCATTGCACAGCAGCGAAATTTAAAGAATGCAGAGAAATCTCCTTTGGCACAAAATTCCCCTTTTCAGGTATGATTTTATTCTAAGTTCTCTAAAGGAGAAGGTTTTGCTATGTTGCACAGTACTTCTGCTTTCTTGTGTATCATATTTATTTCGGATGTGGAGAGCTACTTCTGTGTCTCATAGAATGTACATTTGGCATAAATGTTGATATGTTGAGTATGAATATATCAAAGTTAAGAGACCCTAGGTAGATACAGCTTTCTAAAGGATATTTTTATTCTATTGCAAAATTCTGGGGGGTTAATGTCTACTTTTTATAATGAAATGAGGCAGTATTTTCAGCTCTTAATATTTTCTCTCTAAATGTCTAATTTTTTCATGATTACTGTAAGTTGGGGTGTAGAGTTAAGGGCCTCCCCAGGGTGGAATGTTTTGGGGAAACCTTGTAGAAGGGAACGTTTGTTTGCTCATGGGTCATATTTTTTCACATTTTTATTAAAATAATGCATGCCCCTAAAAAGTCAAATAGTAATATAAGGCTTATTTAGGAATGACCCCAATTTACTTTTCTTGAAGGACATTTTTTTTTTTAATTGATGGGCAAACGATAGATGTACATTTGGGTAAAAGTTGACAGGGCAAATTCATTTTCCATACAGCAGTTCATACACAATTTGTTTCATGACATTGATTGCAATCCCCAAAATATAACAGCTCTCTTCCTACCTTCTTCCCTGTGGTTACCTTTTCCTTGTGTCCTTCCTTCTTATGCATTCCTGCCCTCTGAGCTATCTCCCTGTGCAAATGCTGCACTTCTGATCTCCAATGATTGATTGTTCTGAGGAGTATACCTACCTGGTATAAATGTTCACTTTATACGCCTGTCTTATTGTTTGACTGGATGCCACAGGAGTGGGTTCAATTCTAAGGCGAAGAAGGGTGACTAGAGGCCATAATCTCAGGGGTTTCACCACTCTATCAGACCTGTAAGCCTGGTCTTTTTTATGATTTTGAATTTTGTCCTACATTTTTCTCCCACTCTACCCAAAGTCTCTTGCACTGATTTCTTTCTGAGTGGTTGACAGTGGTGGCCGGGCCCCATTTAGTTCTGGTGTCAGGGTCACATGGTCCATTAGTTCTTTGGACTAATTGTTTCCATGCATCTTTGTTTTTCTTCATTCTTCTTGATCTGGACAACTACTTCAGATGGTTGCATTTTTTCTGGTGTTTGTCTGTTTTAAAATAATACGCTTATATTGTTACTTCTTTATTTTTCACTTTTAGATATCTGTTTTTAACCCTGTATAGGGTAGCGCTATGGTTTTCAAAGTTGGTCTGAAGACACCTTAGGGTCCCTGAGTCCCTTTCAGCAGGTCCATGAGGTCAAAGCTATTTTTACTGTAATGCTAACGCATTATTTGTCTTTTTTCCTCTGTGTTGATCTTTGGATTCATGGTACAAAAATAATGGTGAGTAAAAAGATTTTTTGGCACCTTAGCGTGAATAAAGGCAGTGGCACCAAGCTATAATTGTATATTTCACTGCGGTACATTCACAATAAAAACAATAGTAATAATAATAGCAGTTTCACTTAAGAACACCCTTGATAAAACATTAAGAATTGTCAGTTTTATTAAATCCCAACCCATGATGAAATAGGCAGTATACATAAAGCACTGCAAAGTGTGATGTTTATTGTGGTGAAAGTCATACATGTGATTGTTTGCTCTGCTCACTGGACTGGCTACCCTTTATTTATTTACTTATTTTTCATGAACATCAGTTTTACTTGAAAGAATGATAGATAGACAAATCGTGGTTGTTCAGACTTGAGAATTTGACAGATATTTTCACAAAAATGGACTAGGTAAACCTGCCACTTCAAGGGAGGATTAAAAAAAGCAGTATTTCTTAATAATTTTATCACTTGAAATTTGAATTTTCAAGATATTATGAAAATTTTGGAAAGCATGTGTCTTCGTTTTATAGTGCTGTTGTAACAGAAAACCACAAATGTATGGCTTTAGAGGAAAAATTTATTTTTTCACAGTTTAGCAGGGTAGAAGGCTGGATTTAGGGCACTGGCCTTAGGGAAAGGCTTTCTGTTGGCTCTGGGGGAAGGTTCTTATCGCTTTCAACTTCTATAGCCCTGATATTCCTCAGTTTCTTGGTAGTCTTTACTGGCATCTATCCTCCTTGAATTTATGCTCCCTTCTGTGTATAATCTGCTCTTTTTATAATGTAGATGTGATTAGATTTAAGATATCTCCTATATTGATACAGGCTCATTGACAACAAAAAAAAAAAACCCTGTTCCCAAATGGGATTATACTCATAAATATAGATAGTAGGATTTTAATACATATTTAGGTGGCACATAATTCAATCCATAACAGCTTATATTCACCACTGTGAGCTTGACAGCTTCCCAACAGTTAGACTTTTCAGATAGATCAGAAGAAATGGGTGATATTTTGATATTGTGTAATAAAACGTGTTGACATTTTGAAGATCTTTATCACTTATTTTCCACATGACCAATGCATGATGTTACAAAAGCGTGTATAGGTAAAAGATATCCTCGAATTGCAAAACAGATCGATGGATTTAAACATAACAATACAAAAAGTCGTTGATGTGATTTCATATCTGATGTTGCAACTTACCTTCAAGAAATCTTTGTTGACTTTTGGTGTAGTATTAAAGAAGCATATCTACCATTCTGAAAAGGCTATTAAGATATCCCTCTTTTGTTATAGATAGGTAGAGAGATAGATTAACTCCACTTCATAGAGACCTTATGTATAGCAGATGGAAACATTTCCTGGTCCTGCCTCATCTTCAACATTTTTGGCATGTTGGAGTTTATCATTGCAGCTACTGTGCCAGTCCATCTCACAAGGGTCTCCCTCATCCTCACTGGACCACTATTTGATCAAACATGATATCCTCCTCCAGAAATTTACCCCTCCTTATGATATGTCAAAGTAAGCAAGTTGGTCAGTGTTCTGTTGTGTTTTATAAGATTTTTGGTGGCTAACTTTCAGAAGCACATTGGCAGGCCTTTACTCTTAGTCAGTTTTTTTAGTCTGGAAGCTACCTGAAACCTGTCTACCATGAACAACGCTGCTGGTATTTGAAATACTAGTGACATACCTTCCAGTATCAAAGC